GATTTTAGACATAGATCTGAGGAGTGCCAGCCTACAATCCCACTGCCAGAGAGTCTGGGGAACAGAACCATCATTCAATGGCTGATGGAAGCAGAGACAGATTCCCACAGCTAAATGCTGAGCTGAACTCAAGGAACCCAGTGACAGAGAGGGAGGACTGATGAGCAAAGGGATTAAGACTGGGCTGGTTTAAACCCCAGAAACAGCTGACTTGACAAGGGTTAGCTCTTGAATCCCAGACTGATGGCTGGGAATCCAGCATAGGACTGATCAAGATCCCCTGAATGTGGGTGTCAGTGAGGAGGCCTAGGCAATCTATGGGGCCTTGGATCAGTATTTACCCCAGGTATACAAATGGACTTTGGGTGCCCATCCCACAGTGAGAGATGCACTCTCACCCTGGACTCTTAGGGGAGAGTCTAGGCCCTGCCCTGGATGAAATGACAGACTATGGAAACCCCCATGAAGGACCTCACCCTCCCTGGGGAAATGAGGGGGTACTGGAGAAGTAGGTAGGAGGGCATGGGAGGGGGGGGAAAGGGAGAGGGACCTGGGATTGACATGTGAAGCAACCTTGTTTCTAATTTAAATTTAAATTTAAAAATTAAAAAAAAGAAAATTAAAAAAAAACTCCTAGCAATAGTGGCAAGGGTGCCCGAACTGGCCTTCCCCTGTAATCAGATTGGTGAATACCCTAACTATCATCATAGAGCCTTCATCCAGCCATATTGATGGAACCAGACACAGAGATCCACAACCAAGAACCAGGTCAAACTCCAGGAATCCAGTCCAAGTGAGGGAGGAGGGAATATATGAGCAAGGGAGGTCAAGATCATGATGAAGAAATCTACAGAGACAGCTGAACCAACTTGTGGAAACTCATGAACTCTAAACCAACAGCAGTAGAGATTCCAGAGAACTGAACTAGACCCTCCATGTGTGGGAGACACTTGTGAAGCTTGGACTATCAGAAAGGTCCCTGGCAGTAGGACCACAATACAAACCTGGTACATGAACTAGCTTGTTGGAACCCATTCCCTATGTTGGGATGTCATGCTCAGCCTTAATACATGAGTGGGGCACCTATTGTGTCAGACTCTGTTGACTCCTCATGAGAGCTCTTACATGTGAGGAGAGGGCTGAGGGATGGACAGAGAGGGGGGAGGAGAGAGAGGTGGGAGGAGAGGTGGGAGGGAGAACTCTGGTTGAAATATAAAGTGAAATTTAAAAGAATAAATAAATTATAAAAAAATACCACCTATTTGCTGAAATTTGACAAATAGAGGGAAATAAGAGCTACACTTTAGGGTAATTAATAATAAAAAAGATTTTTATAACAAGTTCAAGCAATAAAAATAATAAAGAACTACAGAATGGTTAAAAAATCACTATAACCTAAGTGTGATGATAAATCTAAACAGTGGTCATCAGTGAAATGCAAGACCATTGGGTGAATGTGTAATAAGGAACACTGAAGATCACACACAGACTGAACCCACTAACTAGTCTTGCCCTCCCTAACAATGAGACTTACCAGACACTGTACCTCTTGACAGGATACAGTGGAAATGATGTCACACCACCTGGAAAGTATCCCTTCCAAAAGAATCGAACCTAAATCTAACCAAGCCTCATCTGGACCTAAGCAACAGTTTATTGAAAGGAGGAATACATTGATTTTTCATTTTAGCAATTCTAGAAGATGTTCAGTAATATCTGTAGAATTTAATTAACATCTTTCTAGTGACACTTATTTACTATCTGAAAATGCTTACTATCTCTAGTAACTGGAGAAATAAAAATCAAATTCACAACAGACACTACTGAACATCATCTAGGATAACTAAAATGGAAAAGATTAGCAATATAAGATCAAAGACAAGAAACACCTCAAAATCTCATAGCTAGTGACAACTTCTTTAGCCACCTTAGACAACAGGTTGCTTATGACCCACCAAATACGTTTTTTTTATTTTTAATTGGTGGTGGTGGTGGTGTGTGTGTGTGTGTGTGAGAGAGAGAGAGAGAGAGAGAGAGAGAGAGAGAGAGAGAGAGAGACCAAAAGAAGGCATCAGATTCCCTAGAACTGGAATTACAGGTGGCCTGACATGAATGCAGGAAATAGAACTCCAATCTCTACAAAAGTAATGCACACTCTTAACTGCTGAGCCATTTCCTCCAGCCCATGAGTGAGTTTAATATATATAAACTAGTCCTCAATGAATTTGAATTAAACAAAAATATCTGGAGCATGAAAGAGGGCTTTCCAGGCATGAATGGAGTCCTAAGGTTGATTCCAAGTACAGCAAAAAGAAAGTAGTGGAGAGAAAGAAAATACTGTGCTCTTTGAGCGGGTCTTACTAGGTTCTTTAAACACCTTCACATGAGTTAATCAGCTGTTCTTCAGTACGTTGGCCCCACTTTGATGCACCACTTAATTTCTTTAGTACCCAAGTCTGAATTTACTTCTTTTTTTTCAGGCAGAGTCTCATTATATGTTCCTGGCTGGACTCAAACTCAATATTTTCTTGCTTCAGCCTCTAAAATGTTAGGGTTACAGGTATGTATAGTCACACCCAACACCAAGTTAACTTCTTTTAAAAGCTTTTCTTTTATTGTGCAAGTATGGATGTTCTGGCTTCATGTTAAGTCCACCATATGTGTTTAATAGCAAAGGAGGCCAGAAGAGAGCACTGACCTAGAGTTACAGATGGTTGTGAGCCATCATATGGGTGTTAGGAATCAAACACAGGACCTCTCCAAGTGTTGCCAGGTGCTCTTAACCACTGAGCCATCTCTCCAGCCCTATAACTTGATTACAAACCTATGTGTCCAGGTTATCCTCAATGTCATCCCACATATCTGATTAATTATGTTTATGTTTATTAATTACATATCAATTACAAATATATGCCATTTATTACTCAGTACAGTGGTATCCATCTGATGTGTAATTTTTTTCTCAAAATAACTCTAAGTTGTCCCACATCTGTGTTTATAGTCAAAACTATAGAAACAAATTTTGGAACTGGTTATACTATTTTTAAAAAATTCTTCTTGAAGTTATTTTTGATAATAGAGTATGAAAAAGAGACTAAGATGATTGACCTGGTTCATCAACATTCACATCTGAATAGTCACATAAAGAGCCTTAGCAAAATTTTAACTGCTGCTGTCTTCTTTTCTCAGTATGATGTTGTGCTGTCAGCAGGAGTTTATGCGATCACTTTTTCATTTACATAGGTCAAGGTTAGCATGGTATGAGAAACAGCCCTGAGCACAGAATTCTCAAGACAGCAGGTGTTTGGTGGCTATTTGATGATCAAAATACATTAGGAAGTTTTATCTCAAATTCCTTCCTCCTAGCCAAAAACTTTTTTCCCAATTAGACTGATCCAGTTTTGGCCTAAATGAGTTTGAAATTCAAGTTAAATTTACATCAAAAATATTGTTTTTTGCCTTTGTTAAAAAAAAAAGCATGGGTTCATGACTTTAGCCCCATAACTTGGGAGGCAGAAGTTGCTCTGGAACACACAGAAGTATTTTATCTTACTGTGGTTTCAAAATGAAATGATCTTTAATCCCAGAACCCAGAAGACAGAGGCAGGTGGATCTCTGTGACTTCCAGGACAGCTAGGTTTACATAGTAAGTAAGACCCTGTTTCAGAAACAAAAAGGAGAAAGCAGCTAGCCACATTACAACAATGCATTAGACAAAATACAAGAGCCTTGTACCCACAGATTATGTGAAATCACTAAATATGTTTTATTTTAAAAAGTGACTTGATCAGAGCTGTGCTGATGTGTAGGTGCTTGACTGTACTTAGACAACTCAGTTCCTCCACAAACACCAAGCCTCTCTAATATTTTTCTGGATTCAATAATGGGCTTTTTTTCTTTTCCTTCTCCTAGAAAACCTGAGGCCACATTTATGCCCACATAAATCAGCTGGTGGGTCTAAAGGGCAGGGCTTCCCCACTTTTATTTCCACTGAAACACAAACCATACCATTCTCTCACTCAAGATGCCCCCAGAGCAAACAGGTTTATGTGCATTTCCTTCATAAGACTTCTGAGAACTGCTCCCTTTTTCATTTTTTAGTCTTATTCTTGGCTGGTTTATATTTTCACACTTGGTCTTTTTTCTTTCACACCACATTTAATTTATCTTGTAAGCATCTTAAATCCTTCCTGCAACAGGTCAGGAATAAATAAGCAGTCTTTCTACACATCCACGAAAGTAATCTTGTCTCATTTGTCCTAGATAAAGCTTTCAAACTTTAACTCTGTATCAACATACTAGTTATCAAAACCTATAAGTTCTTTCTGACTTTCCTTTGTCAGTTCTCTCTTTGCAAATACTTAAGGCCTCATACAAGTAATACAAGGAAAACATCCATGCACAATTTAAGTTTAGAGTCTGATAATAGAAACCAAATTGTTTGCACAAATAAAATGCACGCTGAGCAAGTTTTATATTAAAAGAATGTGAAGTCCCCGGTGCCTCACATACAGTTACTCAAGCAGTAATGACTCGGTTACACTGTAGGAATCTGTAAGTGCTCTGATGTAAGACTACTGTAGCTTGAGCACTGGCACATGAGAATTTGTTTTCATGCTATTTTTAATGTCACTATCAAGCACTCCAAGTAGCGGAATCCAGCTTCTACTCAATTGAGTTAGCCTGAGTTGTTACACAGGAAAAAAACTGTGCTCGAACATCAAATTTTATCTGCATCTGAAAAGCCTCCTGATCTACTCAGAACAGTAGACTTTTAAAATCTGAGCTTTCATAAAGTAGTCCAGAGTTCAGTGTAACTTAAAGAAAAATTACCTCATAAAAGTAATAAATGCACAACATAGTTTCTAGTCATCCCATTTTAGAGAAATAATGTCCCATCATTTCCACCAAAGTTATCTAACTTAATGACAAATAATCTGCACTTACTAGGGTTGGCCTTGTAACTAAGTTTGATCTTAAGAAGTTGACACTTCACTCACCTACGGCAGGACAGAGTATTGGCCACACACAGATACTGACCCGACGCCTAAGCAATGCCTTGTGTTTAGGAAGTCAGTACCACTGTTACAGCTCACAGTTTGGCTTATGATGCATTTGTAAGCAAACAGCCTGACAAGCACCCTAGTGTATTTCAGGATGACTGACAGGGCACAGTGGCTCAAGCAAGGAGGGGGATGGGTGCTCTTAAAGCAACAAGCCAGTAGAGACCAAAACTAAACATTAGATTCTGATCATTAAAGGTGCAATGAAAAGTCATCCATGATCAACTCGAATACAACTTCCATGTACTCTGTACACCCAAATCACTGAAATACAAAATGATATTTATACAAGCAGAAATAAGGAATTTACATCAGGTGTTCTCTATACACTTATAAATTACTTAAGAATATTCCAATTCCTTTTTACAGAAATCAAATAAAGGTACCCAGAGAAAAGATATCACCATTAGGTATTATGCTAAGAGATCTTGCAACAGTAATATAAAAATAGCTAGTTAAAGTAATTTAAACCAGGTGTAGTGGGGCATACCATTAATCCCAGAATTCAGGATACAGAGGCAGGTGGATCTCCGTGAGTTTAGGGCTAACTTGGTCTACAAAGCAAATTTCAGGTGAGTCAGAACTAAATAGTGAAACCTGTCTTCAATTAAATAAAGTAATTTAATGGAGCTGGAGAAATGCTTCAGTAGGTAAGAGCCCTGGCTGCTTTTCCAAAGACCCAAATTACAGGTCTATCTGTAACTCCAGCCCCGTGGGCACTACCACACACATGGTGCTCAAACATACATGTGGATAAAACACCAGTAAGATAAATAATCTTTAAATTTTAAGTAATTCAAGTATCACAAATTAATCAAAACTGTTATTGGAGATAGAGACAAGGGATACATGCATTCTTTCCCTACCATCTATTTATCTGGTTAAAAAGTAAAACAAAATACTAGGAAATTCTAATTGTGGTTATTTGCATACTTATAAAAAGTAAAACAAAATACTAGGAAATTCTAATTGTGGTTATTTGCATACATAGTTTCACTTAGGAAAATATTTAATTGATGCACTAGCTTAATTCTTCACATTTGCAATTTTTCTATATGATTTTGCAATACTTTCTACTTCCCAAGTCTTTGATGATTAATTCACTTAGTTTATTTTTTATTTTAAATGCAATCCCTTACTTTGCCAGTTGAGGGTGTCACTAGATTCTAAATATCCTCAATATTACACTGCATATTTATTTTCATACTTCAGTAGGAACTGCACTAGAACATCTCAGTGTTCCTTAGAAACCTTACTTTGTTTAGCCAGTATAAATTCAACTTGTAGCCTGTTTAACTTACATTTTCTAACTTCCATGTTTAATTATTACTAATTGTCCCTTACATATGAGAAGCTACAGGTTAATTATAGGAAAGATGGTTGCTGCTATGATAGCATAATTATGTGTCTCATGAGTGTGCAACATTATGACTAATAAATTTCTCATGCAACCTGCAAGCCCTCATTTTACAACTAAGCACTCAGTTTGGCCTGATTCACTCTAAAAGTAAAATTTTCACTATGTATCTAACCAAAATCACTAGTACCACAAATTTTTTTTGTTTTCTTTTTCCTTTTTTTTTTTTCCTTGAGAAAGGAATCCTGGCCATCCTGGAGCTTACTATGTAGACCAGGCTGGCCTCTAACTCACATAGATCCTCCTGCCTCTGCCTTCCGAGTGCTGGGACTAAATGTGTGCACCATCAGTCACGCCCAGGAAAATATTGGTTGCTATCTCTGAGCGACATTCCCAGGCCAAATATATCTGGACTAACAATAAATTTTTCTAGACTTCTCTGAAACTACTATAACACATGAATCAAGTTTACTATGGCAAAAAATCAAAACTGAAGCCAATCTACAGGCTCAAGGGAACCATTCTCAATGACATTAAAGCAGGAAATGAGAGCTTTGTTCCCTTTAAAAACTAATTCTCCTGCTCCTGATGAAAGCAGAGAGAAGGTTCTTCACTGAAATCATCTGCTCTATAAAAATCTCAGTGGATAAAGTACTTGCTGCTCAAGTGTGAGGACCATCTTTTGGAGCCCAAGCACCAAAGTAAATGTCTGAGCATGGCAGCCACTGCACTGGGAAGGTGCACACAGGGGTTCCCTGAGCCAGCCAGCTAGCTATACTGAATGTAAAGGTGAACTCTGGGTTCAATTGAGAGGTCCTGCCTCAGTGCATATGGTAGGCAACAGTTGAGAAAGACATCTGATGCCAACCTCAAGTCTCCACATTCACACACACACACACACACACACAATTTCTCAAATCTTAAAATATGGGGTTTTTTTTTTACTTGTGCCATTTTTTGACTTGTGTAGCAACAACTAACAGCTAGGCGAAAAGCATGTTTTCCATTTGAAAAGCAAGTGTAAACGTTATTGGTTATCTTACAAAGTTTTATGGCATTAACTTTCTAAACTGACATCTTCTCAGTAGTATAGATGCTTAAAGTTGTTTGTCAAATTAACCAGTAGGATAATTATTCAAAAGAAAAATGAAAAGTCAGTGTTGTCAGTAATTAGCTCATTCTTTTTGCCAATCAGCCATACAAGTCCAGAGTATACAGCAACTGATTTTTTTCCTGCTTTCATCTAACCACTTAGTTCCACTTTAGTTTCCAACAAGTCTGCTTCCTGATACAGGATCTCCGGAGCCCTGTCCCACCTGGCAGATTTGGTTTGCCAGGATGCTTTAAAACTCTACGTCTAAAGATCTTTTTAGTTTCAGTTCTACTTAAAATGGCTTAAATTTTTTTAAGTTAATGATAATGTTGAGAGAAAGAAGACTGCCAAATATATATTACTTATTTAGGATACTCCTTTGTACTTTCAGCAAAAAAAAAATGCCTTCGTATGTTTTACTTTTCAGCATTTCATACACGTGTGCATGTGTATACACTTTCCTTCAATGGAACCCACCACTTCCCTAACTATTGCAGCAGCCTTATAAGAGGGAATGCTCAAGCAGTGGGCAAATCCAGAAGTGTCTCTGATCCTGGCATGTTTCAGATAGTGTCAGTGAGTGACACACACACGTGAGTTGTATCTCACAGGCATCTGCACATGCAGAGTCCAATAACTAAAAGGAAATATCAAACTAAAAGATAAAGTACGAGAAGCATCCATCTAGTTCTCCTGCTAATCCATGAGACTACATTGAGCTTTCCAAGAGAAATCACAGAGGAATAACATGGTGGTACAAGCCTGTGATGCCGAAACTTGAAAGGTAAAGTCAGGAGAAACAGGAGTTCAAGGTTATCCTCAGCTGTCTATGGAGTTTGAGGCCAGCCTGGGTTACAGGAGATCCTAAACAAAAGAGACTAACAAGATGAATATTATGGGTATGATCAGAGTATATTTTATATGTGTGTCCAAATGAAGCACAGATTTGTTTTAATGAAAATCACTGAGTTGGCATTCAAACTCCATCCCAAGGCTTTATCCATGGTGGCCACCATTTATCTGCTTTTCTCATATTGTGAAGAGATCTGTAAAACTGCCATGAAGAGGAGTCACTCATAAAATCACACGGCAAATATAAAGGAATACTGACTGCTATGCTAATGTCTCACTGACCCATCATCAGTGTTTTACGAAAGACACTTCTCTGCAGAACTCTGTTCATATCAATCTTAGAGGACCACTGTGGAAACCAGCAAATGGATTGCTCTTCTGATTTCAAAATGGTCAGTCATTGAGGTCACACATTTTTATTTAGCAAGGTGCATCTGTTTCGCCCAGGAACGTCATCTACTCCATTTGTGATAAGTTATAATAAGAAAACAAAGAAATGTGGCCCTAAAATAGAAGCACTTCAAAACTGCTCCAAAAGTTTTAGCAAATGCTTCACAAGGAAAATGAAAGAAAGACACTCTGACACATATTAATAAGTATGTATTTTTTAAGACTGGATATGGGGTGGTTAAAAGGATATCATACTGAATCCAAAGCAAAAGAATGACAGTAAGTTAAAAAATAGAAATTTCTGTATCTTGTTCCCACATGAGACTTATGGAATCGTGCCAACCTGCTTCATTCCAGAGCAGGGAGCCACTTGGTTGCTGAGCTATATTAGAAAGAGGGGAAGGAAATCCTTTCTCCCACACTCTGTTACAAAGATAATAACAGAAAACCAGTGATGGATTTCACCACCAAGTAGCCATGTTTATTTTACTATTGTTTATTTTAGCCATGTTTATTTAACTGAGTTTACATAATAACACAAAAGAAATACGTGCATAAGAGAAAATCAGTTTTGCAAGAATCATAGTATCTCAGGCTGGGGATACAGCTCCATGGGAGAGCACTTGCCTAACACACACAAGGTCCTTTGCCCACAGTTTTGCAGTCCTTGCTTCAGATGCTTCTTGGAGAGGAAATTCTGTGAACACCATCTGCTGATGCTTTGGATGTGAGCCTAACCTTAGATAGCTGAGCCATCTCTCCAGCCCTGAACACTGTTCTTTGGACAGAAGAGTTCCCTTTGCTTTCAATTTTTTTACATTTATTTATCTATTGGGGTGTGTGTGTGTGTGTGTGTGTGTGTGTATGTATGTATGTGTGTGTGTATGACACAGCACATGTGTGAAGATCAGAGGACAACTTGCCAAGAGTCAGTTCTCTTCTTCCACCATAAGGACTTGGGGAATCAAAGTTAGGTCACCTTAACTCATTGAGCCATCTCACTGGCCCCTTTCTAGTCATATGAATACATAATCTAATAGGCAATTCTGTATTAAATATTGCACCATTTTTGTTTTAATTTGTACAAACCCAATAACTGGTGAAATGAGCTAATGAATTTTTCATTTATTTATTGGTCACATATTGACTCCTTTGGATTCTTTATTTGATTATTTTCCTTTCTAATTAAGATATATATATTTTTTTTTTCAAGACAGGGTTTCTCTGTGGCTTTGGAGGATGTCCTGGAATTAGCTCTTGTAGACCAGGCTGGTCTCGAACTAACAGAGATCCGCCTGCCTCTGCCTCCCGAATGCTGTGATTAAAGGCATGCACCACCACCACCCAGTGAGTTTTTTTTTAAGACAGGGTCTCTTTCTATCTAGTCCTA